AACAGTTAATGAGCTTGCTACAGGCAACAGGCTGGCAGTAGGTGAGTCAGAGCCGGCTTTCATCCCAAGCTGTGTGAGAGCAGGACCTGCATTCTTCTTGACCAGCCTGTGCTACCTTCGGGAGGTGGTGGTGATTTCTACTGTTGTCCCTGGTTTCACCATAGAGCTTGTGTGTTCCAAGCTAGAGAAACACAGGTCCGTGTGAAGAAAGAGATGTCTCTACCAGCCCTACATTGGGAAAAGCAGAAATGTGGACTCAGGGTCAGAAACAGGGGCCCCAACCCAGAAACATGAGCAGGTGAGCTGTCCTGCCTCACCTCTGGTGTACAAGCACTTATTTCTTTTTTCTTTAAGAGATGGGGTCTCACTCTGTTGCCCAGGCTGAACTTGAACTCCTGGGCTCAAGCGATCCTCTAGCCTCAGCCTCCTGAGTAGCTGGAACTACAGGTACACACTACCACACCTGGCTTATGAGCACTTTTTCTGAAAATCAGAGTTGGGAGGACCATGAAACCTCCTGGGTCAGCACACAGGGACTAGGAGAAGGACAGGCTGGAAGGGATGACACCTACAGCTCCTCAGCTGGCCTGTGCTTTCCTATGCTTCTCTACCATCCCCATGGGTTCAAGGACTTCAGGAAGGATTTCATTCTGAATCTGGGCCTATTTCAAGAAACTGATGAAATGGCAAGATCTCCTCCTCACTCCCTGGCATCTCCCTGCTCCCACATCCAGCCATCTCGGGTACACAGACTATCATGTTTTCTACTTTATCCCCAGTGTCTTGCAAAGGCGGTAGCCCATCATGGCCACTCAGTAACTACTGGGTGGGTGGGTGAGTGGGTGGGTGGGAGGATGGATGATAGATGAGTGGATAGATGTATGCTGATGGATGAAGAATGGATAGGTGAGTGGATGATGGGTGGGTGCACAGATGGATTGAGTAGAGGATGGATGAGAGGTGAATGATGGATAGATGGATAGGTGGATGTGTGGTTGATGGAGGATGGGTGGATAATGGGTGGGCAGATGAGGGATGGATGCTTCGATCAGATATGTCCTGGAGGGGGACCTGCTGGCCTGCCCTAGAATGGTAGCTCTGCCTGTCATTAATTAGTGCCAGATCATAGGTGGATGTGGGGTAGATGATGAGTGGATGGGCGGATGATGGATGGATGTTGGGAGGATGATGGGTAGAGGAGTGTGTGGATGATGGATGGAATGGATGATGGACGAGTGTGTGCTGGATGGATGATGGGTGGACAGATGGATGTAGGGTAGATGATGAGTGGAAGGGTAGATGATGGATGGACAGTGGGTGGATTATGGATAGACAGGTGGGTTGACGATGGATGATGTGGGATAGATAAGTGGATGGGTGGATGATGGATGAATGGTAGGTAAATCATGGATAGATGGGTGGATGGATGATGGATGGATGGGTGGGAGGATCCATCCCACAATGAGGGATGGATGAGTGTGTTGATGAAGGATGAATGGGTGGGTGAATGATGGACAGAGTAGAGTGGTTGGATGATGGGTGGATGGATGAATGATGGCTGGATGGGTGGGAGGATCCATCACACAATGAGGGATGAACGGGTGTGTGGATGAGAGATGGATGGCTATGTGGATGATATATAGGTGGCAGGATAATGGATGGGTGGATGGAAAGTTAGGTAGATGGATGGGTAGTTGGGTGGATACAGGGATGGACAGATGGGTGGGTGTGTGGATGATGGAGATATAGATGGATGAGTGTGCACTGGGTGGATGATGGATGGGTGGGTGGGTAGGTGGTTAGATAAGTGGATGGGTGGACAAGCAAATATAGATCCTACTATTTGACTGGTTCTAACTAACTCTTCTCTGATTTTGCCCTCAAATTCCTCAGATGCTGGGGATCACGATCTCCTCTCCTTTCCACTCTTCATCTCAGCTTCCTTGACCTACAGTTTTTCCTTTCCTTACAGTCTGGCTGATGAGTAGTGTTAGCCATTGCTCCAGTGTGGTGCCTCAGAAACTCATCCACTCCCCCTGGACTTTCCAGGTGGCAGTAGGGAAAGGCTGAGCAGGATGTCAGGTGCTCTGTTGGGTGGTGAAGTGTGTAGAGGAGGATACACAGGCCCTCAGCCCTGGATCCTAAAGGAGGGGCATTGGAGAGAACCTGAGTGCTATCAGCTTAGTGAATGTCAGTGGCTGAGATGATGACTAACCATGGGCCCTAGTAAGTGTTTGTACAATGGATTAGTTAATGATTGAGAGAAAACAACCAATATTTGATGCTGCTGGAAATACCAAAGAACTACTTAAGAATGGGGAAAATGAAAACTTTGGCTTGCTCTATAGACAATACTCTTCAGAGCAATTTATTTAAGTGTCATACTGTCTCTTACCCTGTTTGTTCATCTTATATAGATTTGCTCATCACCTACTATATATATTAAAGTGTGTGTGTGTGTGTGTGTGTGTGTGTGTGTGTGTGTGTGTGTTTTTACATGGACTTTAAAATGAGTAAGACAAAATCTTTGTCCTCAAGGGAGTTGATACGTAGTTAGGAAGGCAAGAAATACATACAAATAATGTCAACGTAGGGTGTGATGAAAGCCACAGAACAGTTACAAACAGATAAAGAAATTTTCAGCTGACACAGAAAGTGTGTGTGTTACATGTAAACCATGTCTCCTTAGGAGTTGGCTATGGGATGGGACAAAAGGCTCTGCCCAGGCCCAGGCCAGTCTGTTTCTTGGCTGTGAGGCCTAGGCCGGGTCCTGATGCCTCTGACCCAAGCAGGCCAGCTAAGCCAGGCCATCAACACAGCTCCATCACTGTGGCTTCTACCTGGGAGGGTCAGGTATGTCCTGAAGGGGGACCCGCTGGCCTGAGCCTTTGATTTCAGGGCTAAGCCCTGTTCTTGTGTGCTCTGCCTTATGTTGGTGGTATGGTCTGGTCATGATTTGTGTTAGAGAAAGCACGTATCATGAGAGGCCCCAGAAGACACAAACAGATTTGTATGAACGTGCCTCACTCCTTGTGAGATGTGTCACAGCCTGGGTGCTCCCTCACACGCAAGTCAAACATGCAGGAAGCAGAACCCCTTGCTGGGGCCATGTTGGTCTGCATTGGGGCCAGGCAGTTTGCATACTGCCTCCGTTTTCCTAAAGTAAAACTGAAAATTGAGACCAGCGCCTGTCAACACCCACTTCCTCATGAATATGGCACCATGTGACCCTGGATGAGAGAAAACCAGGGAGCACTTTCTTGCCGGTTGTGTTCACTTGATAAAGCAGGGTTGTCAGAAGTCTGTCCTTTTCTTACAGAAATTCACAGGATTATACAAATACTTCTGTCCCGTGTCCAAGCATTCTCGTGAAATAAGTAGGTTTTGAAAAACAGGTGCTTGGCTTTCAACCTAAGCCAAAAGGTCTGGATGTCTCCTGGAAGAAGACAGTTATCATGATCTGGACAAAATGAGAATCCACTTAGCAGCCAAGACAGCAGGAACTTTGTTCTGAGTAGAAATGCACCCTGCTTGAGGAGGCCAGGGCAGAGGCACAGAAGAGTGCTGTCTAGAGCTCCCAGCAGGCAGGCACTGAGCTGCACCCATCCTGGGGGCTTACACATGTATGTTGCTAGAACATTCTCATCCCTTCAACCGTAACCCCAACACATATTATGAAGGCCATGGGATGAGGGTACTGGTTGGCACAGGCAGCGCCCCTGTGAGGGAGAAGCTGTCTGGGTACTTTCCCTAAAGGTGAAAATTGCTCCATAGATATTAAGTGTCTGGACTTAAGAGCAGAGAAGAAGGTCGAATTAAGCTGAAGTCTACCGGTTTTCCAGCTTCTTTGTGTAGGGAGAGATCCACTGTTTCATGTTTCTTACATACACAGCCTTCCGGTGAAGTGAATCATGGAAAAAACACTTTGATCATTTAGAGAACCTTTGGACTGAGAGATGGAAGTGGGGTAGAGGGAGAAAAAATGCTAACACTCTCCAGTGTAGACACCAGGGCCGAGCCCGCCCCCAGAGTGTTGCCCCAAATCTCTCGGCTGATGCCACTCATGTTCACGCAAATTTTCTATTTTTTTTTTTTCATAATTTTCATGAGTCAGACATTCTTGTTTAAGTCCCTCTGAAAATGTAAATGCCTTGAAAAGGCAAATACAAATATTTTATAAATAAAACTATTAAGGTAACTGCCATTTCTAGTAAAGCATTCTAGTATTTATCAAATATGAAATTTGAGGTCCCTATGGACACATTTTAGGGTTCACATTTAAATCCAGAGAGAAGTTCAGTGGCAATAACAGGTAGAAAAATCAAAGGTGGCATTCACTGAGCACTTACGTTGTGCCATATTACTTGCTTCCATCATCTTATTTAATCTGCACAACCACCGTTTGAGGTAGAGCTCAGTTAATGCTGCCACTCAATATCCAGAAATAGATGGATAGGCTTAGAACCCATATGAGTTCAGCTTCAGCACAAAAGCTTTTTAACCAGTAAAATATCATTTCTTCTGGAATAGCTCGTTTTGAGGGACTGAGTTTACCATGAAGTCTTTGCTCCAGCAGTTGCCACATCTCTTCATGTCTTGGCAGCTGTGTCATAGAAGCTGCCAGCCCAGAAGGCCCTATTCTGGCCAGTCAGCACCGAAATCTCTCGTCTTTTCCACTTGACAGCATGGCAAGAAGGCCATGGGATGAGGATACTGGTTGACACAGGCAGCGCCCCTGTGAGGGAGAAGCACAGGCTCTGCTAGGGAGAGATTCAGGTGCCCTTTCTGGGTATGTGGTCTCTGGGAAGAGCCATGGCGTCAGGGAGAGCTGATAGAGGGGCATCTTTGGAGGAGAGGGCTGGAGAGCCCAGCTCCCACCCAGGCAGGTGACCGTGCACAGGGCCGTGTGCTTTCATCACCTGTCCTGACAGTTTGATGAGCCCTCTCGTTTGACAACTGCAGAGGCCTGTTGCTAAAGGTAGCTTTCTCTTCCTCCACAGGCATGAATGCTTTACAGTTGCAGAACCTGGCGACGCTGGCTGCTGCTGCAGCTGCGGCCCAGACCTCAGCCACCAGCACCAATGCAAACCCTCTCTCTACCACGAGCAGCGCCCTGGGAGCCCTGACAAGTCCCGGTGAGTGAGAGGGGTGCTCTTTCCTTGCGGGGGATGCAGCAGGAGTGGCAGGTTGGTTTCCATGCCTGCAGGTGCAAAGGGTGAGGCCAGACGTGTCCACAATGGAGCCGGGAAGCTACACTGGGCTGCTTTCATTCATTGGGCTATTTAATCTTTTTAAAGGATCAGAATTCAAAGGTGTCCTTTATTTTCCATGGATAAGATGAAAAAAAATAAGAGAATCCACTGCGCAAGCCCTTCTCACACATTCACTCTGTCTTAAAAAGGTCCATATTGTCCATTCAGCACTAGTTGTTACCATTATGAAGAGCCGCCGTCTCTTAGTCTGTCTTTGTCCTGTGTGTAAGAATTCTCTTTTAAATCTCAAAATTCCTAATGATTCCCATGTTGTATTTCACACTGACTCCATCCATCACATTTGATGTGAAAATCCACAATCCAGCAGGGAACATCTTTGCTCATGTCTGGTCAGATTCTGGGCTGTGTCATTTAGTCTTTTTTCTTCACAAATTTTGTTGCCTTACTCAAAAGCAGATGCCAGTTTCCTTTTCCTACAAGCCTGATATAACTTGGTTGCTTAGATACCTTGATTTGAGGGTTTCTTTTTTTTTTTTTTTTTTTTTTTTTAATTTGAAAAAAGTAGAATGTTTCACTGGTTTCCTTCTCTGTATTTTCCAGACCTGGATAGATGATCTCACCTCCTTCTCTGTTATGTGAAGGAGTTGGCCTGGACAGTCTCCAAGCTTCCTTCTAACTTTCAAAATCCCATGACCCTTTATCAGCTGTGCCCCAAAGATTAGCTAAGTGTTGAAAAAACTTTAATAAAAAAACAGCGAATGAGTTTTCAGGAAAACACACATTGAAAGCTACAGCCTACAACAGACTGGCCGTTTTAGGGCTTTTGACCTCAGGGAGGAATGAGGTGTGTTCCTAGAGCTGGCAGTTCTCTAAAAAGCGTCACCCTCTGCCTCTGCATCAGACGTTGTGTAACTAAGTCATTTCACCCTGAGGACGGTTTGCAGGGAGAAGTCTGAGAGATGTTGAAGAGAAGCTGGTCTGTTTACCCATAATGTGCTGAAATCTCAGCACGCATATTGAGTTCATTGTGTATAGTGTCTTCAAAAACATCCCATTACTATATATGGGCCTCATCTTATGTAATGAATACTATTCCTGAAAATTCAACTTTGCCACCCTTAATTTCAAGAAATTAAGTGATAGCTTCAATGCAACACATCAACTTGTTATTTAAATACATCCTGTAATGATCCCTTTTGAGAAATGTTTTTAACATGATAGATTTCCCCTTTGCAAAAAGTCCTTTTTAAAAAAGAAAATTCGACCCTCCCCAACTTAGATTTCATAAATCAGATTAAAATGTAATTTCTTTTTTTTTCATCATAAAGAATGTATTTTATTCTTATAATTTTCCTAATGGCCAAATCCTAAGTTTGACATGATGGTACAGAAACAGTAATAGCTCAGCATGATCAGCTGCAAAACAGCTCTGTGATCACTTCATTGCAGTTTTTTTTTTTTAATTGCATTTTAGGTTTTGGGGTACATGTGAAGAACATGCAAGATTGTTGCATAGGTACACACATGGCAGTGTGGTTTGCTGCCTTCTGTCCCCTCGCCTGTATCTGTCCTTTCTCCCCATGCTATCTCTTCCCACCTCCCCACCCCCCTGTCCCTACCCCATTTCCCCCCAATGGACCCCAGTGTGTAGTGCTCCCCTCCCTGTGTCCATGTGTTCTCATTGTTCAACACCCGCCTATGAGTGAGAACATTTGGTGTTTGATTTTCTGCTCTTGTGTCAGTTTGCTGAGAATGATGGTTTCCAGGTTCATCCATGTCCCTACAAAGGACATGAACTCATCGTTTTTGATGGCTGCGTAATATTCCATGGTGTATATGTACCACGTTTTCCCTATCCAGTCTATCATCGTTGGGCATTTGGGTTGGTTCCAGGTCTTTGCTATTGTAAACAGTGCTGCAATGAACATTCATGTGCATGTGTCCTTATAGTAGAATGATTTATAATCCTTTGGATATATACCCAGTAATGGGATTGCTGGGTCAAATGGGATTTCTATTTTTAGGTCATTGAGGAATCGCTACACTGTCTTCCACAATGGTTGAATTAATTTACATTCCCACCAACAGTGTAAAAGTGTTCCTATTTCTCCACATCCTCTCCAGCAGCTGTTGTTTCCAGATTTTTTAATGATCGCCATTCTAACTGGTGTGAGATGGTATCTCAATGTGGTTTTGATTTGCATTTCTCTTAATGACCAATGATGATGAGCATTTTTTCATGTTTGTTGGCCTCCTGTATGTCTTCTTTTTTTTTTTTTTTGTATGTCTTCTTTTGTAAAGTGTCTGTTCATATCCTTCGCCCATTTTTGAATGGGCTTGTTTGTTTTTTTCTTGTAGAGCTATCTGTTTTAGTTCTTTGTAAATTCTGGATATCAGCCCCTTGTCAGATGGGTAGACTGCAACAATTTTTTCCCATTCTGTTGGTTGCCGATTCACTCTACTGACTGTTTCTTTTGCCGTGCAGAAGCTGTGGAGTTTGATTAGGTCCCATTTGTCTATTTTGGCTTTTGTTGCCATTGCTTTTGGCGTTTTGGTCATGAAGTCCTTGCCTACACCTATGTCCTGAATGGTTTTGCCTAGATTTTCTTCTAGGGTTTTTATGGTGTTAGGTCTTATGTTTAAGTCTTTAATCCATCTGGAGTTAATTTTGGTGTAAGGTGTCAGGAAGGGGTCCTGTTTCTGCTTTCTGCACATGGCTAGCCAGTTTGCCCAACACCATTTATTAAACAGGGAGTCCTTTCCCCATTGCTTGTTTTTGTCAGGTTTGTCGAAGATCGGATGGTTGTGGGTATGTTGTATTTCCTCTGAGGCCTCTGTTCTGTTCCATTGGTCTATATCTCTGTTTTGGTACCAGTACCATGCTGTTTTGATTACTGTAGCCTTGTAGTATAGTTTGAAGTCCGGTAGTGTGATGCCTCCTGCTTTGTTCTTTCTGCTTAGAATTGACTTGGCTATGCGGGCTCTCTTTTGGTTCCATATGAAGTTTAAGGTGTTTTTTTCCAGTTCTGTGAAGAAGGTCATTGGTAGCTTGATGGGAATAGCATTGAATTTGTAAATTACTTTGGGCGGTATGGCCATTTTCATGATGTTGATTCTTCCTAACCATGAACATGGAATGTTTCTCCATCTGTTTGTGTCCTCTCTTATTTCGTTGAGCAGTGGCTTGTAGTTCTCCTTGAAGAGGTCCTTTACGTTCCTTGTTAGTTGTATTCCTAGGTATTTTATTCTCTTTGTTGCAATTGTGAATGGCAGTTCGTTCTTGATTTGGCTCTCTTTAAGTCTGTTACTGGTGTATAGGAATGCCTGTGATTTTTGCACGTTGATTTTGTATCCTGAGACTTTGCTGAAGTTGTTTATCAGTTTCAGGAGATTTTGGGCTGAGACGATGGGGTCTTCTAGATATACAATCATGTCATCTGCAAATAGAGACAATTTGATTTCCTCCTTTCCAATTTGAACACCCTTTATTTCTTTTTCTTGCCTGATTGCTCTGGCTAGAACTTCCAGTACTATATTGAATGTATTTTCTTAAGTAGGATATTTTTTTCCTTGTGATCTCTATGATTACACCAAAATAGCATGGAGTGTTAATGCATTTTGGTGTATCTTTAGTCCAAAGGAGGCTCGTCAGTTTAAGATGCCAAATGCAGAAGCAGCTATCAGCTTATCAGAGTAGATAATATAAATCCAGAATAATATCCAGAAAGTGCTGTGTGGCCCAAGCAGGACAGACGTGCTGCCTACCTTTGGGAGTCCGTCAGTCCACCAGGGACTTAGACAAAAAACTAAGCAATGAGTGACAAATCAGTGACAGAATCCCACTGAAAAAGGGGAAAGGGGACTGGAGGAGATGACCCCTCTCTCAAAAGGTGACCTTTAAGCAGAGACCTGAGTTCCGTGATGGAAGCTATGGTGCCTGTTCAGGCAGAGGACAGAGCCAGTGGGTGGGGAGAGCAGAGTGGGGGTGCCGTGGCGGACCAAGTCCGTTCTATCCCACGTGGGGAGGAGCATGAGCTTGTCGCACGCAACCTTCTTAAAATGTGGGCTACTCAGACAGCCTAGGGCGACAGCCTAGGTGTTGGTTGAAAAGGAATTTTAAACATATGTGACTATTTTCAGTTTTTTCCTGAGACCGCAGTGAAAGAGAATGTGTTGTGAGCTGAGCCTTCCTCCCTGCTGGAGTCAAACCCACACCAGGCAGTGTCCTTCCCCTTACTGCTCTGGAAGAGGCTTCCTGCCCTTCAGAACGCGCCACTCACTTAGCGTCACTGAGAGTGATTTTTCTCTTCTCTACTGAGGAATGCTTTGCATACTATTGAAAGTATTTTATTAGAATCCTGAAGTGTAGCAGCAGCAGTGATTGAAATCTACATTTCAGTTATTTTTCTTAAGTGTAACTAAAAAATCTGGTGTTTAAGTGAAAGTAAATTATTTGTCTAATTTCCATCAGGGACTTTTTCAAAGTCACAGAAAATGTGGTTTGTAGAATTCATGAATCTCCACTTCATCAAGGCAATTTTCTAGAAAATAAAAAAGAGTTGAAAGCCGTTCCCAAAGCCATGGCCATCATTTACTTTTTAAATAATAATAAACTGGACGCAGTATTTGAACCATGAGCCGGTTCACTCACACCATGAGATGCAGGGAAGCCGCATCCCATCCTTCCTCCACAGGGCCTTGGGTTTACCCTGTTTTAAAAGCGTGTCTCTTAAGCTTCAGACAAATTCATCTAGAAGGCAAAGGGACAATTCAATCCCCTAAACTATTAATTTTTTTAATAATTGTAAATTTATCATTTCAATTTTGCATACCCAGGAAAAGTCTCCCTACAGCATTATTTTAAATGATTTAAAACAGTCTTGACTTTAAAACATGAAAGATTAAGCTTTAATTTTTGTTTA